CCCCTTAAAGGAATCTATTCCTGATTCCAAGCCTTGAGCTCTACCCCGGGCCCAGGAGTTCTGGTCCTAACAGGTAAGTTTTTGGGGTATGTAGCCTAGGCCTTTGGCCGTAAGGAATGATGTCACTGACAGCCGTCTTAACGTCCCAGGGGCAACTCCCATGACTATGGTAGAGTTGGTGCTTAGTGCTCGCCATAGTTCTGGCATGTACTCCCCTCAGCATGGTGGCGTGGGTATACCGTTCCCCATAGCGACCCCTAGAGGACGCAGTTCGAAGTTCCCATGAACGATTTTTCTCAATTCAGTTGATAGTTTTTCATTATGTAAAAGTTTCTTCTTCCGAGTTATTTTTACACTGATTTAGCATTTTTTTCCAAGGTATTATAGTGATTTAATTTGAATGAACAAAATTGATCAGACATCATATTTGACATTAATGATAGAATTTATGGAAAAGATATAACCTCTCAGTCATTTGGTAGATGTTTTGGCACATATTTTTCATACATTAGCCTACACTAAAAACAATCATTTTACTCGGACAAGAATCACATATATAATCACGCAAGTTTTGTCAAATAATTGTTAGAGTTTCTAGGTGGAACACTTTTGGCCTGATGAGTGGCGTTTGGCTAGACTGATGGACATTTTTTGTTTGGCTGGATTCCCAGCCTTTTTTCTTGCATCATCTTCTTCCGTTCTCCAAAGTTCCCGCTTTTTTCTCTCCACCTCCTGCTCAGTTCTGTTGTATATCACCAGCTCTCTCTCCTTCTGTGCAATGTTCTCCTTTCTCTTCTCTAAAATCTTCTCCATTTTCTTCCTGATCTTCCTCTCTGAGGCCGGATAAAAAGACAACGTGTAGCAGCTCTTTCCATTGATGGCCACGAGGGTCTCGACTTTCTTCAAGAGTTCTGTCACGGGCTCATAGTTTGTCGCGTCCTTGTTATTGAAGAACAGGAACCCACCGCTGCACTTATGGATGAAACTGCGGAGCTCCTTGTCTGAGCACGCGATGACGTCATTTGGCGCCTTTCCCTCCAAACGATCTCCGTGAGTGAACACGATGATGGTGTACTTCCAGATACTCTCCCCAAACATGCTCTCGATGAGTTTATGCATGCTTTTGTCATCATTAGTTAAGTTCCCAACAGGCATAACCAGCAGAAACACGTGTGGTCCTGGAGTATACAGAGAGATGGACTTTAGGATCTCTCGGGTCACTTCCCTCTCCGTATGGCCGATCCTGTTCAGACCTGGCGTGTCGATTATGGCCACGGGCCGGTCGTTGATGTTCCCAGATGCTCTTTCACAGAACTGTGTGACTCTGCTCAGCTGCATGTCTGATTTAAAAGCATTGCACCTGAGGATGGTGTTTCCGGTGGAGCTTTTTCCAGACCCTCTAGCACCCAGTAACATGATGCGCAATTCCTCTGCCACAATCATGAAATATCAAGGTTTTAATCGCACAGAAAGAGTTTAAGATAACTGTTTAACCCTTATAGTATGTCCATGTTCATTTTAATAACTTGAAAAATGTAATTAAAATGTAAGTATCAGGGTGACACTACATGTAGTTTCCAAATCTTATGTGATCTGATTATGACAAATGCTTAATATGCTTCATAAAATGCTATAGTCATCCTTCATGACAATGTTAAATTACATATTTAATGGGAAAAAAATAATTTTTGTTCTTTTTGGGGTATTTTCCCTCGTGGTCCTGCCTACAAAAAAAATGTCAAATATTGGATTCAATACTTTTCTCGACTTGTTTTCTTTCAGTTAGCACAGGTTTTTTATTTTGGTTTTGGAAGTGATTAATTGTAGGCCTCACTGACCAGAGCTTATGCACAAGTTTTTGAGTGAACATTGCCAAAATTACCCACAAATAATGTTTTTTTTTCAGGTGCATAAGCTCAGTTCAATGAGCCCTATGACCAATCATTTTTTAAAAATAAATATAAAACCTGTGCTAATTGAAAGAAAACAAGTTGACAAAAATTTTAATCTAAGATTTGCTGACAGTATAGCATAATGAGAGATTTACAAGCAATTTTTAAAAGGCTGGTCATTTTTGGAACTGGAACACCAAATTAGTTACAGGATTTTCAGCACAGCACAAGGGTTAACAAAAAGTTTAGATTTTTAAGAAAAATGTGGATGCCATAAAATATCTCACCATGTTCATTTGTTGATTCGGTTAAATTGGTTTCCTCTATGTTTGGCACATTTTCATACAATATTTCATGTGTTGCATCTGTGAAAAAAAGTTACTGCTTGAGTCTAAATAAGACATTTTATATTGACAGGCTATTTGCTGTGTAATCTTTAAGAAATATTGTAATGAAAAAAACATTGATCTTCCTTATCTGATAGTCATTGACAGTTAAAATGTTGTATTGAATAGTTAGTATAATAATGTCATAAGAGATGTCATAAGATGTTGTAAACAGATTGTTTTGTGTTATTCATTGTGACTTACAGCTGGTTGATAAATCCAATGCAGAATCATTCTCATCTTCCTCAGAGTCCATATTATCATGAAGAGTCATTATTTTCTGATGTAAAACGAAGAGAATTGCAAGCATCAAACTGCAGAATGTCATTCTCCTATTCAGTATTTTTGTCTTGTTTTCCGGTCAAATATTATTGCACTAATCTCGTTTTAAGCATAAACCTCAATAACATTTGTAAGATGCTTAAAACAAGCAAAAGGTCCCTGATCTGCTATTTATGAAAAGTTTAGTTTCACTCTGCTTTTTCTGCATCATAAAAGTATAACATCAAGGAGAAAAGAAAATGACTTACCACAGTTGATGAAGTTTAGAGATCAGCATTGACACACTTGCATATGAAGAGTCTCTAGGAAATATGCTGCTTTCTTCTGTGCAATGAAGAGTTTTTCTGTTTGAAGGTAGGTGTAATGTAATCCACACAGGTAGCCTATCGACTTCAGGTAGAGGGCTGGTCTTGTTGAAAGATGCGATCACTTCATTCGACAAGGGTTTCATTGAGGCACAGGACTAGTTTGACATGTTAGTCAAGTATATAGAGTTTGTTTGGCATGTCCTTTTCTGTTCCAGTGAAAAATGCCCCTCCGGCCTTGAAAGTGGGGGTTAGTTTTCGAACTGAGTAATAGAGTAGATTAGGCTGACAACATTTGAACACACACCTGGAAATAATGATACATGTGAACCAGTCAAGACACTTAATTTCACTGTAGTCTGAGCTGTGGCTAAATTTCACAATATCTGTTATCTAATATTCTTTAACAGTTATTGTGACCATTGACTATGCCTTATAGGGCCTATTATAAACAAATTCTTGGTTTCCTTTTTTTGTTTTGTTTTATTATTTCTTTGACAAATCAAGCATTTAATCATTGTTAACATGATTATTAATTTATGTATTTTCATTTTTGCTCTGGAAGATGGTACATCTTACTGTCTTCTGCTTTAGTACATAAACGGAACTTCATAACGCATATATATACAACAAAGCAGGCCAGTCTGAGTATTTTTGTATGATTGTTTTATAACGATTTGAAAGAGAAACCTGTTTAATCATATCTGAGACAGACATATTTCCCCTATTAAATGTTCATTCAGCGTAAATAAACAGTACATTTTCGCTTACAGTCCCCCTTTATTCAAAGCTGTGGGAGCGGTTAAGATAGTTCTGATTGGCTACAGACCTCGAGGTCAAGTGCAACTTTTCTTCAATCATCGTCGAGGAAACTTCTACAAGCATTTTCATTGGCTAAATTGGACCCGGAAGTGGACGTTGACGGGGAAATCTCTTCTCTGGAGCTCTGTATTACTCAGAAATAATATTATTTGCGTTTTAGCTAAATAAAATAAAGAAAGTCACTTTGCAATTGCACCTTAGAGTTTCCGAGGATGGGCTCTAAAGATCTGAAACTCCTGGATGTGTTTTCATACGAGAGTCTCGTGCATGCAGTCGCCGGTGCGATGGTAAAAACAGCTTTTCATCACAACTGTAGGGTTTTTACATGATTTACAGCTTTTGAATGATGACACATGTACGCACATTTATCTACTTTCCTGACCGCTACCTGCTGCGTGACAAAATGAAAAACAAATCAAGAAATGAAATAAAATGTGGCTTTCTTATTTGCTTTGTACCTTTAAAGTCAGCATGTTATATATGACAAAAAAATTATATTATTATTATGATATATAGTAGTATTTTATATAGTAATATGCAAGATAATATTTTGTTTCATTTCATATTTTAAATTTACTATTTAAATTGTAATTATTTACTTTTATTATTAGAAAAATATATGTTATTATGCTATAATACAAAATGTAATATAATTAATATTATATTATTGTAATATAATGTTATGTTTTATATTATATAGTGTAGTATAATATCTATCTATCTATCTATCTATCTATCTATCTATTCCAAGGATAATCCCTTGAGTATATTAAAATCTGTTTATTTAAAGTGATTTATTTGTTTGTAGGGCAGTGTAACAGCAATGACTGTTTACTTTCCTCTTGACACAGCCCGGCTCAGGCTGCAAGGTAAAAAGGGAAACACATGAGTTGAATTTCCTGCTTTTGTTCATGTTTTAAAATACGTGACCACATTTCTTTCTGTTTCTGTGCAGTTGATGACAAGCGGAAAGCCAAATCTACCCAAGCCATTCTGTCTGAGATCATCAAGGAGGAGGGTCTGTAAGTTATGTCACATGCATCTCTTTGTTTTGTGTCATTATCTTTTTAATTTCAGGTTGCAAGCATAACCATGCTTTTTTTTTTTTTTTACTCTCTCTCTCCAGATTAGCTCCATATAGAGGCTGGTTTCCAGTGATCTGCAGCCTTTGTTGCTCAAACTTCGTCTACTTCTATTGTTTCCATAGTCTGAAGGCCACCTGGCTGCAAGGTCAGAGGTCAACACCGGGACGAGACCTCATTTTTGGCATTGCTGCAGGTTTGCTTTTTTCAAAAACATGAAATGATCAAAAATGCAATAGTTTCTGTCATGCACTACTGTTCAAAAGTTTGGGATCAGTAAGATTTTTAATGTTTTTTAATGGAGTCTCTTATGCTCATCAAGGCTGTATTTATTTAATCAAAAATACAGAAGGACAGTAATATTGTGGAATTATAACATTATTGCAATTAATTGTGGTATTATAACATTATTGCAATTACTAAAATTGGTTTCTTATTTTAATATACTTAAAATAATAATCATTTATTTCTATGACGCAGCACTGAATTTTCAGCATCATTACTCCAGTCTTCAGTGTCACATGATCCTTCAGAAATCATTCTAACATATGCTGATTTGTTATCAGTGTTAAAACTGTTGTGCTGCTTAATATGTTTTTTTGGAAACTGTGATACATTTTTCTTTGATTCTTTGATGAATAAAAAGTTAAAAAGAACAGTGTTTATTCTAGGGATGCACGATATATCGGCCACCATATCGGTATCGGCCGATAAATGCTCATTTTTTCTGTTATCGGTATCGGCCCGATAAGAAAATTTGGCCGATATCTTAAAGCCGATAAATAATGCATTATTTCCTTCAGAGACACTTCAGATGCACGCTGTTCGTTTGCAGCCTTTTGTGCAATTGTACGTTGTAATATTGTGTTTATTTGATGTATATCTGATTTATCTCATATAGAATGCGTTTGGTTAAGTTAAAAGAGCGCTTCAGTTTACCAGTGATCATCTTTAGCTCAGCGCACGCAGCTCAAACAGCAGTGCACAACATTAATAACTATGATTGGGAATGTCGTGTATATAACATTCTAATGAGAACATTTTTATAATAAAACGTTGTGAATTCTTTGGGTTTAGTTGCTGTGTTTCAGCGCGTTGTTATGGGAAGAGAGCATCCACAACAGGATCACACATTCTGAGAATTATCGGTATCGGCCAAAATTTTCATATCGGTGCATCCCCAGTTTATTCAAAATATAAATATTTTCTAACAATATAAGTCTTTACTATCACTCTTGCTAAATAAAAGTATTAATTTCTTAAAAAAAAAAAAATGAAAGAAAAATGTACTGACCCCAAACTTTTCAATAGTAATATATGTATATATATTGTAACACAAAATTTCTATTTTGAATAAACACTGTTCTTTTTAACTTTTTATTCATCAAAGAATCCTGAAAAAAATATCACGGGTCCCCAAAAAAATATTAAACAGCACAACTGTTTCCAACATTGATTATAAATCAGCATATTAGAACGATTTCTGAAGGATCATGTGGCACTGAAGTTATTTTAAATTGCAATAATATTTATTTTTCTGTATTTTTGATCAAATAGATACAGCATTGTTGAGCATAAGAAACATCTTTAAAAAACATTACAAAACCTTACCGATCCCAGACTTTTGAATGGCAGTGTATATATTTTGTGCAACCAGTATTTAAACAGAACTGTATGAATGTATTGTTGGTGCTTCCCACAATTTAGCTTTATATTACTTAGTTTCTTGTTTTCATCTTAAGTTATCTTCGTTTCGAACATTAATATTGTGAATTATTAAACGGTTTTGCTGCTTTATTTATACAGAGACCTGTATGATTTTTATTTATTTATTTATTTTTTTTTTTGTGGTAATCATTATTGGGTAGTACCATTCAAAAGTTTGGGGTAAAATAAAAAATGAAAAAGAAATTAATACATTTATTTAGCAATGATGCATTCAATCGATCAAAAGTGAATCCTTTAAAAAATGTATCATGATTTCCACAAAAATACTAAGCAGCAAAAACATTTTTAACATTTTTTCAACATTAGCAATAGTAAAAAACCATTATTAAAGGCATACTTTACCCCAAAATAAAAGTTTTGTCATTTACTTGATTTACTTTTTTTTTTTTATGTTCTGTTGAACACAAAAGAAGATATTTTGAAGAATGTTGGTAACCAAGCAGCTGTTGGTCCCCATTGACTTCCATAGTATTTTTTCCATACTATGGAAGTCAATGGCCACCAGCAACAGTTCGGTTACCTACATTCTTATCAAAACATCTTCATATGTGCTAAACCTTTCTGTCTTCCTTTAGGTGTAGTGAATGTTCTTGTGACCACTCCGCTCTGGGTAGTCAATACCAGACTGAAACTGCAGGGGGAGAAATTCAGAAATGAAGACATACAGCCCACACACTACAACGGAATTATTGGTTATTTTAAAAGACATCATACATGATCTTCATTTCATTGCCTTTAATTCATGTGTGTCCAGTGATGATATAAGGTGATCCGTCTCTCTTTAGATGCGTTTGTACAGATCATGCAGCGGGAAGGAGTGGGTGCGTTATGGAACGGGACGTTTCCCTCCCTGCTGCTGGTGCTCAATCCAGCCGTGCAGTTAATGATCTACGAGGGTCTGAAGAGGCAGCTCATGAGGGGCGTCCACAGAGAGGTCAGAGCAGGCTGCTGATCCCAGAACAGTTTTTAGGGTTTATAATTGACTCAATTTCATGGTAAGAAACTTTTACCATGTTAAAGCTAATACAGTAATGTAAAAACTTTGAATTATCTCTCTGCATACTCAATCATGACAACATATAAATAAACAGATGAGTCTATTCACAAGATTTCTGTTGCCTGGGAAACAGTAGCTACAGCATTTCTGATATTAAAAAACATGCAGATGATGATTCGCTCATTTAGATGCTTGTATTCATGCACAAGCATCTGTCGAGTATGAGTAAACTAAAAAAACATAGCAACATAGAAATATGGTTATGTAACTCCTTGGTAACCATGGATGATGTCACAGTTCGTTGAAGTTTAAATTAGAACATATCAGTGTTTTGGTTTGTCTTTCAATGTGCAGTTTCCTCTGTGTTAACAGCATGTTGATTTATCTACATATTTAAGTTTCTTCACCCAAAAACCTACATTCTGTCATCATGTTGTGGGTTTCGTGATAACGGAGATGGAATGTAAACGCACAATTTACGCGAGCATGAAAATTTGACTAAATCTTCTGTTATAGAGGAAAGACAGACTCTTCATTGTTTAACTTGACTATTTTTCCACTATATTTCTGTCTGATTGTTTATAGCTCTCCTCAGTGGAGGTGTTTCTTATTGGAGCCATTGCCAAGGCCGTTGCAACCACCATAACCTACCCTCTACAGACAGTTCAATCCGTTCTACGGGTAAGACCAGAATACGTTTAGTTTATATTTGCCCAATCAGCTCATATCATGCATATTGGATTATTGGTTCTCAACTGATTTTGTTGCAGGTCTTTGATTTTTATATCCTGTATAAAATAGTTCAGAAGTCTGGGGTTGGTAAGAAAGACATTTTGAAAGAAATAAAGACTTTATTTAAAAGGAGCTTATATACAACTGTTCAAATGTTTGAGGCCAGTAAGAAAAAACGAATAATTCTCTGCAAAAATGCATTAAATGGACACTGTTACAATTGCTATTAATCAAACAATCTGTATCACAGATTCCCAAAAAAATATTAAGCAGAGCAACTGTTCTCAACATCAATAATAATAAGAAATGTTTATTGATCAGCAAATCATCGTATTAGGATCACATTAGTGACACTGAGGACTGAAGTAATTTTTAATAGTGTAAAAGTTTTAATAGAGTTCATTTGAAGAAGTTTGGATAGATGGATAGATAGAGAGATAGAGAGAGAGAGATGATAGAGAGAGATAGATAGATAGATAGATAGATAGATAGATAGATAGATAGATAGACATGAACGAGTGGTTCTATCATAAGCCTGCATAAAACAGTATACAATATAAGTGACAATATACAAGGACAGTAACAACATACACAATGACCTGAAGGATATGCGTGTTCATTCAAAGAAAGGTTTTCCTATGAATTAATTAGAGAACAGTCCATTTGTCTTGGCATTATGTGTCTGTCTTATGAGGAAAATGAGTGAGTTCTCTATCCACATTCCTTTGGGCAATAAAACCAGTGATATCAGCATTGGTTGCCATGGAATCAGAGGCCTATTCTGCCTTCCTGAGGTGTTAAGACGCATTTCGAGGGAAGGGTCCACAGGCCCTCATATGGCTTGTTAACTGAGGGGGGTTACAGAGTATTTGTTAAATATAACTAACAAAAACTATGTTGTGTGTCTGATTGGTCCAGATGCTACAATAGATAGATAGATAGATAGAGAGAGAGTGAGAGATAGATAGATAGATAGATAGATAGATCATCACGGGAATAAATTACACTTTAAAATATATTAAAACAGAACAGTAATAAAAACATTTGTCACAGATGTAAATCACAGATGAATTTGCACCTAAAAACTATACAGATTGGACATGTGACCACTGATGTCAACAACAATAGATAAGTAAGGGAAGAGTTTTTCCCTCCCTTCTAAGAGTTGGTTTTTCGCTCTCTAAACTATGCATGGTTATATGGTTTGGTTAGTTTTATTCTTTGCATTTGCATCCATTAGTTCAGATCTGCTGTGATATATGAAACCAGAGAACCACACTTTTTCTGAAGCTTCAGTTTTGTTTGTGTAATGGTAATATTGTCTGTTTTATCTGTCGTTCTCATTTGTGTTCAGTTTGGACAGCATGGGCAGCCCGCAGATCAGTCCAAACTCCTGAACAGCCTGAGATCTGTCATGTATCTGCTGATCAATAGAGTCAGGTAGAATAACACACATTTCACCTGACCTGATCTTGCCTGTGTAGTGCTAACATATTTCACTCAGTTCATTTTCAGTAGCTGTCACGCAAGTTATTGTCAAGTGATTCATTGGTTTCTGTTGACATCTGAACTCCTCCGCTTGAACTGAGATGTTTGTTGATTGATTTATTGCAGAAAGTGGGGTGTGCTGGGATTGTTTAAAGGCCTGGAGGCGAAGCTGCTTCAGACGGTCCTCACTGCCGCACTGATGTTCTTACTGTATGAGAAAATCGCCAACACCACCTTCAGGGTCATGGGCCTCAGACACACAATGACGGCCCGCTGACCTCTCACAGGAGGTTTATTAGCTCACCGATGTCATAGGAACTGAGTATACCTGTGTTATGAAAAATAGTCAATTGAAAAGTTTTTATTTTTTTATTTTTATAAATGATCAAAATGGACAGGAACACTCAAAAGTTTAGACACACATGACTCAGTTTGTGTTTCTCATGATCTTTAAAACATTTTGATCTATAGGCTTCAGTAATTGTAATAAATAAAATATAAATAAGAAAATAAAATATAAATATTAGGGAGGGGGGGAATTAAAACGAAAATGAGAAATGTTGCTTTGGCAGCTAACTAAGCTAAATAATTAAGTTGTAAGTACAAAAATTACTAAAACTAAAAAGCTACATAGAAAAAAAAACACTTAAACACTAATATTAGAATGAAGACTGAAAATATAAAACAATAGCTAATTTAAAATATTAATAATGCTTTATTAGTATATACATAATACTAAAATAACACTGATTCATAGATTACAAGGTTTACAGTATAAACTAGATATAAAATGTAGCTATTTCAAGGAAGATAAAATATAGAACAGTTTTGATTTGTGAACATTTTTTTTTTTTTTTCTCACTTCCATTATTTCATAGTTTAATGACTTTACTATTATTCAGAAATTCTTAAGAACATACTAAAAGAATGAATAAGTGTGTCCAAACTTTTGATTGATAGTGCATTAATATAAATAATTATCACAAATAGAATGTATGCAATAGTACTGAAATCAATCCCACTTAAATAATTATTGCAATTTTGTACTAATATGCACAAAATGGCCTTAATAGGTCAATACCTTGGTCAGTATTTCATGTAGTTTTTTACTTCATTTAAAATAGGAACTGATTTTGTTTATGAATACCAACAAATCTGGACTGCTTTACCTAGCGTCAAAAAGAAAATGATGTTTTGTAAGATCATTGCTGTCAACATTGGAGCCTGCGCTTAGATCTGCTTTTCTGCATTGATACAGTTTACCGTACAAAAACAACTTCCAGACTAGTTTTTCTGGTTCTGTGTTGGTGATACTTGATTTCACTTGACAACACAAAGCCACTGAGACTGTAACTGACCTTTAACCTAAAATGTTTACAGTCTGGACATAAAAATAGCTTTTTTTTTTTCAGTCTTTCTTGATAAGGGGATGTAGAATAACCACAGTTATGCACAGAAGGCACTTTCTGTTGCACAGAAGGTTTAAGACATTGAAGCTCAAGTGCTTGCTTTATGTACAGACTCGTGGGAATCCATACTGAAATTTAGATAGTAAAATCATTTCTCTCTCAGCACTGATGTTCACACTGTACTAGAATGCGTACAGTTACAGTTATGTTTGAATGTAAAATGTGGACGTTTATTATTGAATGTCAATTAATCTATTAACATAAATTAAAATATTTATTAATAATTACACATCCAAGGTCTGTCAGATGATTCCAAATATAAATAATTTAGATTATTCATTAATGACTGCTTACTGTAGATTTTATAATTGATGTCACATAAAAGTTGTATAATGTTTCTACAATAAAATAATTGATCAATGATAATTCAATTCAATTAAAGTTTATTTGTATAGCGCTTTTCACGATATATCGTTGCAAAGCAACTTTACAGCAAATTAAGTTTCTACAATATTTAGTGGTAGCTTATAATTATACCTAATGTGGTATAACATTGATTGTTTTGCTTTTTTATATTTTATTTTATTTATTTTTTTGTCTTTGCTTTCAATAGAAGCAACCTACATTTTAATAGGGTCAGAAAAACATGCAATTGCATAAATTGGCCTCCAGGAGGCAGTAAGAGCCCTCTTTTTGTGCTGTACTTCAACTCAAAACTCTGTCAAAAGGAAATGTAGCTTTCCATGTCCCCATGGTTTAGTGATTTGTTAAAGATTTTTTTTTTTTAATTAAAATAAATCCAAATAATGTATTTATAAAAATGTTTTTACTTATTACACGCATTATTATTATTATTATTATTACTACTACTACTACTACTAATGTTGTTAGTTCAGGGGTTGCTTGAGTACTCAGAAAGCCGAATCCTCCATTGTGAGAAAAAAAAAAAATAAAATAAAACCTAAATAGAATGTTTTGTGTTATTAGAGATATCTGTGCACTATAAAGTATAGTATTTAAATATGAATTAAATTGAAACCATTTAAATTAAATTAATATAATTTTTACTGTATCAAAAAACGAATGCACACGCTAATTACCATGGTACACACTTATCTATTCCTGTAGTAGAATCTCAACGCTGAGCGTTCCACCACATTCGGGGAGCATTCTAATTGGTCCACTTGTTCCACCGAGAACACTGAGCAGCGAAATGTTATTGGCTTAGTGGGTTCGCGGAAGTCTTCTGAATGAGCCTATTGGCTGTCCGCAATGCCGTTCTTCAAGTCCTCGCCCACTATTGGATGAGTCCTAAAAACAGGCGGGTTTCCGGTTGAAGTTTACTGGATATCGGAAACGATTAGTGAGTGGAGTGCAGACCAGGATGGATTAAGCACTGTAGAGTAAGACAACTGTTAAAGTTATTATTTTTAAGACTTGGTTTGACACGCAGCAGCTGTGCATGCGCAGTCATTTATTCGAATGCTTTCATGGTGTTTATTATTGAATTATAAGCTTGCTGGAAGTTGTACTGTGTAGTTGGGAACAGCAAGCACATGGCCTGAGTTTGCTTGTCAAGTTACTTGCTAGGTGAGACAGCATGTTTTGGGGGCTGTCAAACGTTTGAATGAAGGTTATAAGGGATACAGGTCACCTTGGCCACAGTGGGCACGGGAGGGTGCTTGTGGTCCTGATGCTGTGAAGGTGGGACTGTTATGTAACATGCATCATGACATGGTGTTTTTATTCTTTTATTGCATGCATCTGTCATTAGGTGGTTTTCTGCACTTTTACATTAATGTATTGTCCTGCCATGTAAATACCACAGTGTATGAATACTGTAATCATACAGTACCAAGGTGTGTTAGAGTACCATGGTATTACCATCAGACTTTTTTTTTTTTTTGTCTGGTTGATGCCGATGGTCATAAAGATGCATTTGAACTATATAACTGCATTTTAGCCTTATAAACAATAGTGTAATGTTCTGTTTTGCATTAACGTTAGTGGTTTGCTAAGTCAAATGCTTTTTAGGCTTCTTAGGGTTCAAGGTTCTGTTGTAAGTGTCTTGAGATGTATTGCATGATGCATGAGACTTATTGGTTGCTCTTTCTGTCACATCAGCATTTTAACTGCAGAATGGAAACATGAATACAAGATATTCCACATATACACAGTAATAACACGGTTTATGATCAACAAGCATGACTTGTGAGCTTATGATTCATAGACTAGTGACAAAATAAAGTGGAACAAAAGGAACTCAAACTTCTGCTTCATCTCACACAGTCAAGTCAAGTCACCTTTATTTATATAGCGCTTTTAACAATACAGATTGTGTCAAAGCAACTGAACACAGGAGACTTTGAGATAAACCAGCTTAAATTTATAAAACCGACAGTCCTCGTGTATCCTTGTCAGTGTGTCACTTATGTCTGTGTTCTTTTAGTCATTCTCACTTTAGTGCTTTTTGTCTTGCAGCGCAGGTTTCAAATTTCACATGCAGGAATGTTCCGGGTTTAAAACAAGTTCGATTTTATCAACAGCAGAAATGTGCAACTTGTACTTTTGATAAAGCACTTAATTCTTCCACATAAAAATATGTGTTGTTTGGGTTGCCTTAATGGTCCGGTGGAACTGCTGTTCTAGGTGGATAAATGGTTTATCATTGTATAAATCAGTTTGTCTACTGTGTGGATTTCTGTGTATGTTAACAGTCCTGTTCTGGTATCTTTGTGCGGCCCATGTAGGTACTGAAGCACGAGTAAAAATGATTTTCTGTGGCATGCTGTTGATAGAGCTTTTATTGAGCCCAGAACATTCCTCTGTGGGACAAAAACTTGTGTGTTTTAAAAAGTAAAACTATAGGGCATAGCAAGGGCCAGTGTGAGAGTTTCAGGCTTGTTGATACCAGTGTTGTTTTTGTTAACTAAAACTTAAAAAAAAAAAAAAAAAGCTGTAGGTATTTAAAATAAAGCTGACATAAAATATAACTTGACCTTAAAGAAATTGAAGTTAGAAATGTTGCTTTGGAAGCTAACAGAAATAAAGAAACTTAAGTTGAAATAATGTGTGTACTGTCTATATTTATTATGTTTAGCCGATATAAATACACACACATGCATGTATACATTTCAGAAAAATCTGTTATGTTTATATATCAAATATATTTATAAAATGTGTAAATATTTTCAAAATATATACTGCATGTGTATGTGTTTATATATAAATAATAAATATACACATTACACACAAATATATTATGTAAACAAAAACTTTTATTTTGGATGTGATTAATCACGATTAATCATTTGGCAGCACTATTAAATCTATATAGAAAAATAGAATAAAAACAAAACCTAATAAAGTGATAAGCACATAAAGAAAATACAAAAATTTGAACTAAAATTACAATGAAAATGGAAAATATAAAAATAAAAGCTAATTCAAAATATTAATGAATACTTTAATAGTAGTATGCTAAAATAATATGGTTGATACTGAACATTTTAGATTCATTGATCTTGTACATGCATTTTTATTCCTTGCAAACTTGAACATTTGGCTTTGTGTGAAGTGTTTCACATGATCTTGGTGACAAATCAGAATTTGCAACAACAATGCTGTCTTGCTGGCTAGCTTTTGTGGAAACCGCAAAAATTACTTATCTTAGATAATCTTAGAAACATCATTTTCATAAAATGTTGAAAACTATGAAGCAGTCAGTATTGTTTTGCATTGTGCAAGTATGTGTTATTTTCCAGCAAAAGTTTAGGAAATTGTGAAGTTATATTATATCACAGGGGTGGCGAACGATGATATAACAGCGGTGGCGAACTCCGGTCCTGGAGAGCCGCAGCCCTGCAGAGTTTTGCTTCAACCCTAATCAAACACACCTGAACAAGCTAATCAAGGTCTGAACGGTTACTAGGAAGCTACAGGCAGGTGAGTTTTAATTAGGGTTGGAGCTGAACTCTGCAGGGCTGCGGCTCTCCAGGACCGGAGTTTGCCACCGCTGTTATATCATTTCCAGCTTCTAGTT